TAGGAAAAGAAGAGAGAAGAGGCAAGCACGGAGCTGTGTGTGTGTCCAAGAGTGCATGTGGGTTTGTGTGAGAGTCATTGTGTGTGTGCATGGGTCTGGGTGTGTGCTCCTGTGTCTGTGTATCTATGTGCCTGTGTTTCTACAGATCTCTAGTTGGCTGAGAGTAGCTTTACTTGTGTGTCTGCGAAGAGTATCTGTGTGCCTGTATGTCTGTGTCAGGTGCCTGTGTTTCTATGTTCTCTGCCTCTGGGTGGCTGTGCCTTTTCTCCTGAATGTTTGTGTGCAGTGTCTGTGCTTGGGTGTCACTGTGAGGACAATGACTGTGGTGAGAGCTGGAACACAGGGTGCTCTGCTCTCGGCCCTTTCGTCAGCATCTGTGAGAGTAGGACTGAGAATGCCTGGGGACACCAGTGGCTGCACTGGGAGGGGACCCTGCTTAAGTGTAGTGAGGAATCCTTTGTAGGTGTCCCAGGAGACCTGGTTTGCTCTAGCCGACTCTCTCCTTGGTCCCTCCTCCGAGTTGGGCCCTGGACGCCAAAGGCCTTTTCAGCACCCAGTACTGACATTCTTGGGAGCTGAGCTCCTCTACCCCACCTCCAAGAAAAACAAGCTTCATGCTCAGTTGGGGGCTTCAGGTCAACGGCTGTCAGGTCCTTGGCGCCAGCTGAGGGGTTCACCACCCTCTAGAACCCACCTGACTCCTCAGACACATGGGAAGAGGGCCATGGAGGAAGCAGACGGCCAGACTATTCAGAAAGGAGAGGGGTCTAGTTCTCCTTATTATGAGGTCCTGGACCCCCAGCTTTATTTCAAGTCTCCTTCACCCCATCCCAGAAATGAGTATGCTCACACGAGATCAAGATCCCTGTCTTGGCCTCCCTAATCCTTCTCCTGGGAACTCCAGACTGGGGAGAAGGCCCACGACCGGCGGTAGCAAACCAAACCCAGGAAAGAGAAGCGAGAAGCGCGCCGGTTGTTCCCGAGGGGGCAGCACCACCCCCACCTCCCACGCGCCGCGCGCTCCGGGCCCGAGCGGGGCGGGGCCTGCCGGGAGCGCGCCAGGGGCGGGGCTTCGGGGGCGCGTCCGGGAGGGTGGAGGGAAGGGCTGGGGGCGTGGCCTAAGGCTCGGGGGCCGGCGGCGGCAGTGGCAGCAGGGAGCTGGGAAGCGAGAAGCCGGGAGCGCGGGGCTCAGTCGGGGGGCGGCGGCGGCGGCGGCGGCGGCGGCTCCGGGGATGGCGGCGGCTCCGCTGCTGCTGCTGCTGCTACTCGTGCCCGTGCCGCTGCTGCCGCTGCTGGCCCAGGGGCCCGGGGGGGCGCTGGGAAACCGGCATGCGGTGTACTGGAATAGCTCCAACCAGCAGTGAGTCTGGGGCCCAGGGAGCCCGTGCGTCCCGCGTCTGCGAGAGGGGGAGCTGGTGGGCCGGGGAAGTCCTGGGGGAACCTGGGGTGGGAGTCCTGGGAGACCACAGCTGGGGGCTGGGAGGTGAGGCAGCGGGGGCACACTCTGTGGGCGTCTGTGAAACTCAGGGGGTGCCTGAAAGAGGCTGTTGAGGGTGTAGTAGGGAGGGCTTGGGCCGTACGGAGGAGGCTGCTCGGGGACACCCCACCCCACCTTGGCTTCTCTCCACACCCACCGCTGGAATAGCGTACCCCTATCCCACAGTCCCCCATCTTTACCCCCTTAGACCGGGCTGGGTTTAGGAGTACCAGATAGGCCGCCGCAGTTGGGGGGCCCAGGGATGACCTGTTTTCAGCCATGAGGGTTTTGAGGGGTTCTGTCTAGGACTCCTGCTTTTAAAAGTGGCGTCCAGAGCTGAGGCATGGAGTCCAACCGAGCACCTCCTCAGAACGAAGGCGAATGGGTTGCCCTGGTTGTGTGGATAAGCCTGGTTGGGGTGAGCTGGGGCTGGGTCGCCGAGTTGGGGGCCCTGGGGGTGCTGCTTGGTTAGGATGGAAACATGGGGTACTGGCGAAAGAGAAGAAGGCAGGGAGATGTCGGCGTGTCACACACGCACACACACGCCCGGGCTAGGGACGGCGTGTGGCTCCAAGTGTGAGCGGGCGTGTGCGGCTGTCAGTGTGTGTGTGTCTGAGTGTGTGATTTGTGTGTCTGCGTCGGCGATCGTCTGGGGGTGGGAGCGGGCGACGGGTCGGGGAGGGGGCTGCGGTCGCTGTCCGCGTGGCCGGCTGCGTCTGGGCTTGGGTGGCTGTCGGCGCCGCCGCGGTCTGGGCGGGTGTCAGGGCGGCCGTGTGGTTTCCCTGGGTGTGTGGCGCGGCGGCTGGGTGCCGGCTGCGGGACCAGGTTCTCGCTCTGCTCAGTCCTCGCTGCCCTTGTCTTCTCCTCCCCGCCGAGCCCCCGTGTCTGTGTACTGGGGGGATCCCTGGGGACGCGGGGGTCACTGTTGCACCTGTCCAAGTAGCGGCGGCACTGGCTCTGGCTCCCCACCCCGGGGGGCGACTCGGGAGCAAATGGCGAGGCCCCAGGGGAGGGGGCCGGGCGGCCGCGACCCCCAACGTCCCGGAGGGGCTGCCGCTCACCGCTCCGCTCTTTGTTGTTTGGGGCTCCGCGCCTCCCCCTCTCTCCTCCTCGCGCCCGGAGTGTCAGACTGGGGGTGGGGATGAGCCAGCGACACCCCCCTCTCGCTTCCCATGGAAACCTCTGGGGTGAAGATTCGGCCCCTCCCCCCTGGAGCGGGGCTCAGAGAACTCCGGGGGGCTCTGGGGGCTGACTCCTCTGCTCTATCTACTCGTCCCCCTCCCCCAGACTCACATGTCCGCCCCCCGCCCTGCTAGAGTCTGGCGGGGAGTGGAGAGCGCGCAGGTGAGGGGCCCTGGGTTCCCCACCACCCTTCGGGGACCCTCGCGTTCTTAGGGGAAGCCAGAGCCAGGGGGATGCGGGAATGGCCTGGGGGGGTGGGAATGTTGTTGATCAGGTTCCCCTCCCCCGCATACACCTGGGCGCAGGTGAAAGCCCTAGGAGGGCATGGGGGAGCCTGGATTCCGGGAGCCTCCTCTCTATCTTCCCCGCTACCCCGCAGGTCTGGACCGGCAGAGGTAGGAGGGGGTGCGCACCCGGCCGGGAGGCCGCCGCCGCCCCCGCCTCTCTTCCTCGGCCTTTGTTGCCGCTGCGCCCGGGCTCCCCGGCTCCCTCACTGCGGCAGCCGCGGCCCCATAAATCGTGAGAGCGACGTGCTCCAGAGCCGGGAGTGGAGAGGGCCAGGGAGCTGGGGGCGGGGCCGTGCCGAGCCACAGGCTCCCGCGCCCCCTCCACCCGGTCACGTGAGCCGGGCTCCTGGCTCCCACCCCCCGCGTCACGTGCGGAGGGTCTCTGCCCCCTGGGGTCACGTGGAGAGGGTCTTGCGACCCCGCCTCTTGGGGTCACGTGGGAGGGTGCTGGTGGGACACGTGCGGCGGCCCCCTGTGACAGACCTGGGGGCAGTGCCCTGCACAGCGGCCGCGATCTCGCCCCCTGCCCCCCACTCAGCCCCTCTGTATGGTCCCCTGGAATAGGGGAGACCTGTTCCCAACCTGGCCTAGAAACTAGGGATGGAGGGACTATACTGGAGAGAAGCACGAGAGTGTGAGGTCAAAGGGTCCTCTGAGCCCGGAACGGAATTTGTGGGGGTGGGAGGACCAGCCAGTGGCCAAATAGTTGCCCCCTGGTCTGTGCTTCATTTCTTTGCAGAACTGAGCAAGGGTGTTAGTATTCGCCCTTATCTCAAGACGGCTCAGGAACATCTTTCTCTAGCTGTCTCCCTACCTCTCTCTTTATCACTGAAATGTTTCTGTTGCTGATCCCTCTTTCATTCAAAGATTCATTCAACAAATATTTCTTGAGGCTCTATTACGTCCCTATTGGTCTTTCTCTGCTTTCTCCCTGTCACCGAGTCTCTGCCCTGCACTCCCTTCCCTATCCCTAATATTCTTCTTTGCGTCTCTCCGTCTCCGTCTCTGCTGTCGGTGGGCCTCTCTGGATCGGCCTCTACGTCTCTCCTTCTCTCCAAGTTTTTCTCCCTTCTCGTCCTCTTCCCTCTCTTTCTGGACCCCTCTCTTTCCCTGTCTCCCTCCCTTTCCCCTCTCAGTGAATCGGTCTCTGTAATCTCCCTTTTCGGCGTGTCTCCGTCTCACTCCGTTGCTGTGTGTCTCGCTTTCAGCGAGTCTCTCGCTCTTCGCCGCCGCTGCAGATCAATAAACCTTCGCCGCCGCCGCTGTCGCAGGGAGGAGGGGCGGGGGATGTGGGGCGAGCTGATTCCCTCCCACTCGACGCGGGCCGGAGAAGCCGGGGACCCAGTCCCGGGAGGGCAAGACTCGGCGGGGTGCGGAGGCCGAGGGCGCCTGACGGGGTGCGGGGGTGTCAGCGTGCACGCGCCGCCCCGCGTGCGTTCCCGCCACCCACCCGCTCCCAGCCCGGGCGCGCGGGCCCCACGCCGCGCACACGTGGTCCGGCCTCGCCTGCTGGAGCGAGCGGCGCGCAGCCTCGGGCGCGCGCGCTAGAGGGAAGGAGAACCCGGGTCTGGTGTCTTTACGTCCCTCCGCCACTTCCTTAGCTCTGCATCCCGGCCTCTAAGGGTAGGGGGCAGGGACTTAACAAGTTCGGGGCCCCTTGGGATCCTTTCCCTGCTCCCTGGTCTTGTTAGACACCCTGTTTACCTGCCCCTAATTGCCCCGGGGAGAGAGGTTTGCTCCTTCCCCGCTCCCCCGCCAGGCTCGAGCAGGCGGGGCAATGAAGGAGTGAAAGAGAGGGGTCGGAATGCGCACCCGGAGGCGGTGAGAGCGAGGAGAGCCGAAATAACGGGGTGAGGGGGCACCCCCTCCAGGTGGGGTGTGTCGACACTTGCCTTTCTGCGAGAGAGGTGGGAGGCTCGTAGGAGATGAAGTGAGGAAGAATAGAGAACTGTTTGAAGAGACAGGCACAACAGTCCCCAGATCCTAGCGTCCCCACCGCCCCGCGGGGGCGGTGCGGCCCCGGAGGAGTGGTTAGCTGCAGAGCTTCGCCCGGGCCTAGCGGCACCTCCCTCTTCACTGCCAGGGCAGGTAGGATGACAGATTCAATTAAAGCGCCCAAGCCAGGCAGGCATCTCAGGTCTCCCAGGAGTTGTGGCTGGGGATTCCTGGCACCCAGCCTTTCTGCCCCCACTGTCCACCAGATACCAGCTGGGCACAGCCATTTCACAAGCAGGTCTGTCTCCCACATGCCCAGCTTGGGGGGCATTACAGGGGCTGCTTATGCCACCCAGCCCAGGGATAGGTAAGAGATGGCTTCTCTTCACCTGTGGTTGCCCAGCAACAACATTTTTGTAAGGCTAGTGCCCACCCGGTTGAGGAAACCGAGGTACCTGTAGGAATACCTCTGGCTTTGGCTTATTCCCTGCTGGAATGGGGTGTGTTATAGGGGAAACTGGGCAGAGCCCCATGGAGGGGCTACTTCAGAGTAGGGCTGGAGACTTGGGTGAGGCTCAAGGACAGAGGTCCCAGTGTGGCAGTGCAGCTGCTCCATGCTGACACCCTACCACCGGTGGCCCCCTCCTCAAAGCCTGCAGGGGAGGAACAGTAGACTTTGGAGTTGGGGATAGAGAGGCAACTGGGGTGGTGGCTGGGAGCCAGGCCTGGTCTAACCCGTTTTCCTGCTCCCAGTGCCCCAGGCTGAGACTCCTGCCCACCTGAGTGCCAGGACCAGGGAGGGGCCTGAGTGACCCATCACTCCCGTGGGAACCAAGTGGGGCTGGTGGCATTCCTGATGACTCAAGGAGGCTGTGCCCAAGCACCAGCTCTCACCTGTCTGCTTTACTGCTGGGCTTGGAAGGGAGTGCTTGGGGAGGGGACAGCATAGGCAAAGCCAAGGAAGTAGGATAAGGTAAGGTGGGGAGGGACCCTGAAGGCCCCACTCATGAAGAGGCCTCCAAGCTCATTTTCCTAATGGATCTAATTACTGTTTGTGGAAGTGAGAGGTACCTGGTGATGTGGGGAGCCAGTCTCTCCCCTCAGGGAGTTCCCAGGGACCAGGGACCCCAATGATTTGACATTTTGCCAAGTATCCCATGCTTTCCTGTGTCCACCATGCTCCCCTCTCACTGCAAAGATGTATGCATTCCTACCCTAAGGAAATTAGGGGAAACTCCTGCCTACTTCTCTGAGTTTCTTTCTCCATCCAGATGTTTTTCCCATCCCCACACCACTCAATACCACCATCAAGGGTGTTAAGACCAACACTGATGATACCTAGCAAGGCAGGTGGGGATTATGAGGGACCCAGCATCTGCTTCTCTGTCACATAGAAGGATCATGGAAGTAAGAGGCACAGCCATCTCGTCTGGGCACTATGCCCGTTACTCTGCCAAGCATCATTAAGGGGGCAGTGGTGCCCAGGTTGAGGGAGGAGGTGTATAGAGACAGAAGTTTTTGCTGATTCGCACGATACCCACGTGGAGCCTTGGTGTTGAGTCCCTTAGCTCCCTGATGTGTCATGTCACGTTATTGGGGACCCAATTGCCCACAGCCTCTGGGTGGAGGTCAGTGGGACTCAAGGTACACAGGCTATTGATACTGTAGAGAGAGCATGTGCCATTGTGTGTGTGTGTGTGTGTGTGTGTGTGTGTGTGTGTGTGAAGGGCAGGGAGAGAGCTTGAGATTGCTGGAGTCAACCAATACTGGCATGCAAGTCAGGCACATACACAACCTAGCTTTTCTATGTGTATGCCGCCTGTGAGTGGGCGGTGGACATATTTGTGAGTGTGCCATAGAACTTATGCATGTATATGCATGAAGCCTTCGTACCTGCGAATGTGAGGGCAGGTGCTGTCGGACTAGCCTTGGGGGTGGACTGGCAGCGGCAGGAAAGCATGCTGGGAGAGGCGATGGAGGGTGCGCATCCCTCCCACTTTCACCCTTTCCTTCCATTCCTTCTATCCCTCCTCCCCACTGGGTGAATTATGGGGGATGGACAGAGGAAATCCGGGCCTGGGTCTGGGAGTCGCAGGGGCCTGCGCCGTTTCTGTGGTAACCAAAGCATACGTTCCCTTCTTCCCTCCACCCTTCTTCCCCGCCTCTTTTCCTTTGGCGGCAGCCTGGGTTCCCTGCGCTTTTGCTACCCTCTGGTGGCCACCAGGAGAAGGACAGAACAAAGAGCGGGCATGGAAGGATAGTGCAGGAACTGGCGGCACTAGGGCCCTGGGGATGGAGACAGGGACTGAGAAGAGAGGAAGCTCAGAAGAAAAGCCGGGAGGCTCCGAGGACCCTGGGGAAGGTCTGCGGAGCGGTGAGGTGGAAAGCGGGTTGGCTTTGGGGTTTCTTCTCTCTGACCCGCTTCCTTTCCGCCACAGCCTGCGGCGAGAGGGCTACACGGTGCAGGTGAACGTGAACGATTATCTGGATATTTACTGCCCGCACTACAATAGCTCAGGGGTGGGCCCCGGGGCGGGGCCGGGGCCCGGAGGCGGGGCGGAGCAGTACGTGCTGTATATGGTGAGCCGGGCCGGCTACCGCACCTGCAACGCCAGCCAAGGCTTCAAGCGCTGGGAATGCAACCGACCGCACGCCCCCCACAGCCCCATCAAGTTCTCGGAGAAGTTCCAGCGCTACAGCGCCTTCTCGCTGGGCTACGAGTTCCACGCCGGCCACGAGTACTACTACATCTGTGAGTGACAGCCGGGCGGGCCGGGGCGGGGCCTAAAAGTGTCTCAGTGAACAGCCAGGGGGTGGGGTCCCCAGGGGCCAGAGGCGGGCCAACGCGGCTGTCTCGGTCTCCGTCGCTAGGAGTGATACCCCGGGATGAAGCGTGGGGACAGGGGGCCTCAGGGTGTCAGCTCAGACAGGGTCGTCAGGCTATGAGAGAGGTTTGGTAACAGTCTGAAGTTTGGGTCGCAAAATCACTGTTTCTGTGAGGGACGTTCAGGGTCGAGGTTTCTTGAGGGGTGGGACCAAAGGGGCTTCTAGCGCTGATGGCGGAGCCGCAGTGACCAGTGTCCAAAGGGTAGGGGAGCTACTGAAGGAGACTGCCCAGGAGGGGCATTTCCAGAGAAGGAGAGTTTCTGAGTGAGGGCGGGGTGTAAATCGGGAGAAAGCGACTCAGGCCCAGTCTCCTCCCCAGCCACGCCCACCCACAACCTGCACTGGAAGTGTCTGAGGATGAAGGTGTTCGTCTGCTGCGCCTCCAGTGAGTATAGTCGGCTCCCAGCCGCGACCGCATCCTCGGCTCCCCTGCTTTGGGGCTCCCCTGGCTTCCTGGGGGTGGGGGCGGAGGGCACAGGCGAGGGGGACTCGCTCCCCAGCTGTAGCAGGAGGAGGGGATCCTGGCCCTGACTCTCCCCTCCTCTCTCCCCACCCGCACCCCACCCCGCAGCATCGCACTCCGGGGAGAAGCCGGTCCCCACTCTCCCCCAGTTCACCATGGGCCCCAATGTGAAGATCAACGTGCTGGGTGAGTCTGCGCAGCGCCCTCTGGTGGCCACTGCTGGAACCGCAGCCCCCTCCCCGGTGCCTGCTCACCTCGCATGCCTTCCCCTGGGGCAGCGATCCTTCCTACCCCCGTGGGTGGTCACGTCCCCAGCTCCACTGCTGCTGCCGCTGCCGCGTGCCCGCGCCCCGGCGCGCAGCCCAGCCCTCACCAGTCTGTCTATTCATTTATCCACAGAAGACTTTGAGGGAGAGAACCGCCAGGTGCCCAAGCTGGAGAAGAGCATCAGCGGGACCAGCCCCAAGCGGGAACACCTGCCCCTGGCGGTGGGCATCGCCTTCTTCCTTATGACACTCTTGGCCTCCTAGCTCTGCCCTCTCCCTTGGTGAGGAGAGATGGGGCGGGGCTGGGACAGAGCAGGGAGCCTTTGGCCTCTCCAAGGGAAGCCTAGCCAGTGGGGCCTAGACCCCTCCTCTAATGGTTGGACATGGGGTCTGCACACATACATCTGTGCCCGCCCCTCTGTCCCCTCCCCACCACATAGGGCAGTGGACCAGGCGCAGGAACAGCCACGGGTCCCAGGTGGCCTTGTGGCTCTGGTAATGTTTGGTACCAAACTGGGGGGCCATAAAGGGCAGTGTTCAGGACTCCCTACCCCGGGTACCTTTCTCTGACCCCTGGTGCCCTCCCCCATTTGTCCCCCCAGAAAAACAAATATGCCCCAGAGAGAGTAAATCGAAGCATGGGAGACACCCCATCACTCTCTTCTAGGGGCAGAACATGGGGAGGGGACTAGATGGGCAAGGGGGTGGCATCGCCTGCTGCCCCCTTCCCCTGTTTACAGCAATAAGCATGTCCTCCTCCCCCCACTCCCACTCCCAGGATTGTGGTTTGGATTGAATCCAAGTTTACAAGTAGACACCCCTGGGGGGGCGGGCAGTGGACAAGGGTGACAGGGGGTGGGCATTGGGGTGCCAGGCAGGCATGTACAGACTCTATATCTCTATATATAATGTACAGATGGACAGAGTCCCTCTCCCTCCTTAATCCCCTGACCTTCCTTGACTTCCCTTCCCAGCTTCAGACCCCTTCCCCACCAGGCTAGGCCCCCCCACTGGGGGACCCCCTGGCCCCTCTTTTGTCTTCTGTGAAGACAGGACCTATGCAACGCACAGACACTTTTGGAGACCGTGAGACAACAACGTCCCTGCCCCTCCAGCCCTGAGCCAGGACCCAACTCCCAGGACCTTGCCCTGCTCACCCTCTGTGGTCCCCACCCATCCTCCTGGGCCTTTTTCAAGTGCTTTGGCTGTGACTTTCATACTCTGCTCTTAGTCTAAAAAAATAAACTGGAGATAAAAATAACTGAGTGTGTGTGATTTCCAGGGCCATCACCCTTTTGTACACTGGTTAAACCCCACAGGTCACGGGGCCGGGTGAGGAAGGGGATTCTGGGGTCAAAGGCTCAACTGAACACCTGGTTCTGTGGCTTGTCTCCCTTAAGGAGGCAGCTCCATGTGGAGGGAGCAGCAGGGGCTTCCAAGCTGGGCCTGGATGACCCTGGGGAACTCATTCAACTTCTCTGAGCCTCAAGGATCTCATCAGAAGTTTTGGGTTATAATACATGTCTCTCAGGATTGGTGTTAAGGGTCAAATGACAGAGGGGTATACGGCTCAATCGAGGATGCTCTTCTCCTTTTCTTCCTATTCCATCTGTCATCAGAGGTTCTTGACTGGGGTCTATGGATTTCAGGGGGGCTGTGAACCTAGATAGGAAAAAAATTATATCTTTACTTTCACTCACCTGTAACTGACATCTAACGTTCTCTGATGTACTCGGGCGACAAGCCACAACAGTTTGAACAGTGCCTGTGACTTTGTAACCAACAGAAATCACAGATGTTTCCAGACTGCATTATGGTTTTTGAAGATATCTCGAAATATCGTTTACTCTTGTCACTACTTTGAAACGTCTGTAGTTGTTAGACCGTCCTTGTTTTTAATGTGTTAATAAAGAAGCATATATATTACTATACCAAAAACTGTAAATGTTTTGATAACTGTTTCAATATAATTGGTTTCCTTTATAATCTTTTGTAATTTTATTTTATTCATTTAAAATGTTATGGCCAAAGGCTGAGAGTTTGCTGGTGCTGGGGTGGGGCATGGCTCCAGCATCCTGCATCCCATCAGGAGAGGGAGGGGACAGAGAGCGAAAGACCGAGAGCAGGTGAAGCAGTCAAAGGTCTCTCCTCAGGAGCTGTAGCCCTGCCCGGGCCGGAGGAGATCAGGGTGGTACAGGTGGGCACTGCGTGGGGGGGGTGCCCACGGGGCCAAAATCTACCTGGGCTGCATGTGCCCAGCCAAGTGCCCTGGTCCAGGGAGGAGGTGCCTTTTTCTCCTTGCCCAGCTGTGCACCCTTGGGGTTCATCCCAACCAGGTTCTCTAATTGGCACTGTGTGGGCAGGCTGGGCCCTGCATGAGTGCCCCTCCTGTGTGCCCCTGTGGCTCTGGCCAGCTGCATTGTGAGAGTCCCTGGGCAGCAGGGACTCTGTCTTCTCCCCCTCTGTACTCATAAAACATGGGAAATGGAATTTCAGCCAGACCCTGGAGAGGAGGGAGGTCTCCTGCTGGCAGAGCAGGGAGGAGTGGGGGTGGGAGGGCAGGTGGGGAAAGAACCAAGGGCGGCCGGTGCACCAGTCTGAGGCTCAGAGACAGGACCAAAAAGGTAGGCTCACCCATCCAATTGTTCATGGATTCAATCAACATTTATTAAGCACCTGCTGAGTGCGAGGCCCCATCCTGGGTACTGGGGATGCAAAGAAGACACAGTCTCTACCCTCGAATAAGCTCCTAAATTAGCCTCTTCAATTGATACATTAAGAGGAATCAGTCACACATACACTCACATATGACGATATAACCAGGTGTTATGCGGTTAAATGCCAGGCGACTGTGGGAACATGGAGGAAAAAGCACACTCCTGCCTGGGGACATAGGGAGGAGGAGATACACGACTGGGCAGAGTCTTGAGGGCCTTGAGGCTGAAGAGTGTGGGTTTGTCCCGTGAAGGAGCCATAGCAGTTGGCCTAGGCTGCAGGATCCCTCAAATCCCCGGACCTTGGGGACAGAGTCTGGCCAGCTGGGATGGGGCGGGCCTAGCGCGTTCAAAAATCCAGGGATGGGAAGACTGCAAAGGGTCAGGTGTTTGGGGGCAGGAGCTAGAACAAGCTGACTTCCATTGACTGAGCACTTACTTTGTGCCAGACTCTGTGCCCAGTGCCTTATGTGCATTGCGAGCCTCGTGACCTTGAAAACCTTACCAACCCAATAGCACAGACGGGAAAACCGAAGGTCTCAGAGGCTATGTCCCTTGAGTAGGGTCACACGGCCTGGTAAGGCTGACATTCAAAGTGGGTCTGACTGTCACCATGCTCTGACTGCTGGAACCTGTACCACCACCTGGAACCCTGCCCCACAAGTCCTGTCACCCCCTCCACCAAAGTCACTCAGAGTTTTGGGGGAAAGACATCAAAGAACCTCAGATCTGGACGGGGTGAGCCAAATCCGAACCTCAGATGGGGAAACTGAGGTTCAGAGAGAGCAAGCGACTTGCCCATAGTCACTTAGATGTCCACGGCAGAGCCAGGACTGGAACTCAGCTGTCCTGAGCCCCTGTCTTGTTTTCTCCCACAACGCGATGACCCAGAAGGGAAGATGTGCCTCTTCCCAGGAACTGAAGCTGGTATTTGGACCCTCTTAAACCACCACAAGCAGGGATTAAGGAGGAAGCACCACTCACCTCAAAGATCCCCTTTCATTTCCCCTGAGGCTGGGGCTTCAGGAAACTCCGGGGTCCTGTGGGGTCTCCTGTCAGGCAAGGTTTTAGTTCCCAGAGCATGTAATGGGGAGTGGGTGTGGGGTCAGCACTTAGTTGGACAGACATCAGTGACCCTGAGGCTGCCTGGCCCAGGTGGTACCAAGGTCTGCACAGCCCAGGGTGTCCTGGACAAAGCAGAGGGGAGATGACACCTGCGGCAGGGCCTGAGGGCAAGGGCTGGAGGTGCGAATGAGGGCAGGGGCTGGCAGGAGGGAAGGAAGGGGCTCACAGTCCAGACTCAATACCTACTGATGGATAGGATAGGGCAGGTACGACAGCACAGAACAAAACGGAATCGCTTCAGATACGGGACTGAGCAAGATACTGGGGGAGTGGGGCAGAGGGCGACAGGACTACAGCAGGGCAAGAGAAAGCCAGGCTAAGCCACCTCCTTCCTGCTGCCGCACCCCAGTACCTGGGGTGCCCTTAGAACATGCTGATGGCCAGATGGTGCCCCCAGGCCTGGACATTCTGTGATTGTGCTGGCCCCACACCAAAGCACAGGGCCCTGAGGCGAGGGGAGTCCAATTCGGTGAGCTGTGCTGGCTCCAGATGGGCAGCCCGCCCACCCTCAGCAAGGTCTTCTTCTTGTTTGCTCTCATTCTGGCTGTGGGTAGGGAAGAGGAGCAGGGCCGTTTATAATCCAGGCTGGATTGGAAGCCTTGTCCCCCGGGCTGGGGGCCTGCAACGTTGGCCCTTGATGGGAGCAGGGGGCTGTGCTGGGCTCAGCCTGTTCTCAGGCCTGGGGCAGAAGGGAGAGGTCCCAGGCCACCCTCCATCCCAGAATTTCTCTTATCCCTTACCCTCTTCTTTCCCTCCCTCCAGTTCTGGATGCTTTGGGGTTAGGAGTGGACTTGGGCCCAGTCCACACCTGTCCAGCCAGAGCTACTCAGCCCCAAAGTCTTACATGTTCTCCCTCACCTTCCTTTTCTGTGCAGTCAGCAAACTGGGGGGCATGGGCTGGGCTGGGGGGACATGGGATGTGGGCTGGATGTGGTGGTGACATGGCTGGAGGGGAGAGGGATCGTAATGGAGAGACATGAGCTAGGACTAGGAGACATGGACTGGGATGGGGGACACAGGTGGGGATGAAGGACATGAGCTAGCATGAGGGATGCAGGTGGGAAGTGGTGGGGACACACAGGCTGGGTAGCTCAGCCCCTGGATGACAAACTGGAAAGTGTGGCGCTGACACAGGGAATAGCCCAGATGTGCTAGGGCCAGGCCAGCCAGAGACATTTTGGGCTCGGAGCAGGAAGAACAGCTTCAGGCAGAATCCAATGATGCTGGCCTGGGACCTGACCCTGGGGAGGCCTGGCTTCTGGGCTTGGGCAGGGCTTGGGCGGGGGCGGCAGGGGTACAGATATGGCCCCTGTTCCAGACAGTCAGCACCAAATTCTTGGCATCCACCACAACGTCTGGCCCAGGGTAATAACAGGGCTGCCACCAAGCCTGGCTATAAAAGGGTGGATGAACCGGCCCAGGGACCTGGGAGAGCTCAGCTCAAGTGGCCTGAGGCCCTCCAACCTGCTCCTGAGAGGCTGGTGTTGGCCAGGGGACACTAGGGCCTCTCATCCACGCTCACGCACAATTTTGCACACTTCAATTCACACCCAGTCATACAACCTCACAACCTTGCAACCCCACACAGTCAATCAAACTCACTGCTCAGGGAGCGGGGCTGGGGGACGACAACCCTGAAGGGGCCTCAGAAAGGAAGGCAGGGGCTTTGTTTACACAGCTGAAGTGGAAGGGGCCTCCCCGGGCTAGAGTGGGCAGCCAGGCACCTCAGGCACAGAGGCCACCTCCGCCCCCTCCACCACAGGCAGGAACTCTGACACACACACTCCTTTGCCACTTCCACACACATTCAGCATGCATGTTCAACACACTTCAAAGCCACACTCACACCTTTCACAGGCATCGGGCACACACAGGAGCGTCACACTGTCTAACACTCACACAAACAGGAGCCGCACACATGTGGAGGGGCTCACAGGCACCTTGAGCCACACTTGCATCCAGGGTCACACAGGGTGACACGCTTGAGGGCCGGCATCCAACAGATGACCATCGCCAACACAAACCACGCTGACAGTCCCAACTAAACAAACAGCGTTTCGTGCCGGGAAGGGCAGCGGCCAGACTGACTGGACAAAGCGTGGAGTCTGGGAAAGCCCAGGGGAGGGAAGAGGAGGGATGTGGGGGAGAGCAATGCCGCATTCACAGCCTCTGGAAACAGCCACATGGGACACAAAAACAACCCCTAGGGCCCTAAGGATACATGCAGACACACTCACAAACACAGGGTGAGGCCGGGCCTTCTCCCTCACGTCCATGTGTCCACAGAGACACGAGCCCACACCCGGCGTCACACACAGACACCCACCACAATTCCTCCCAGGGACTCTGAGTGCCCTCGCCACCCCCAGCATATGCTGGTGTCCTGAGGCCTGTCACTTGGGTGCCCTTCCAGGCCTGACAG